GCGACATGGAGTGGCTAGAGTAGAGTCTGAGTATGTCTGAGTAGACTTGGAAACTGCCAGAAGGAGCTATCTCATCAGGGAGTTGAAGTGAAGCACTCGAAGCAACTGCCTGCTTCCCTTCCAGGCTCCTGCACCCATGGCTGAATGAACTTCGAGGCTGCGGCTTAGGTCGCGGTCGTACGAGTTGAGTGAAAAAGAGCTTCGGCACCAAAAAACGACTTCGAACGCCCTGCTGTTTCCATGAACACAAGGTGACCTGGCTGAGTGAAGCCCATTCTGAAGGCAACTGGGAGACCCCCCCCCAAGCGGTGAAGTGCCTCGGACAGAAGTGTGTTGGCTTCCACCTGGCACCATGGAGAGGATCTCAAACCGTGCCGAGGAGAGTTCGTGCTTCAAACATCCTGGGTCAGTTCACCTTGGCAGCCTTAGCACTCACCAAAACAGAACGGCCGCCAGCTGCCCCCAAGATAACAGTGTTTACCTGCTTACCTTGACTCGACGACTTCCAAGCTAAAATAATGTTCAATCATCCAGGCCGGTTCCCTGTTTGCTTACCGGTTCCAGGACGGTGCTTCACCTGCCTACCGAGCGGATCTGGATCCAAGGCTTCGGCGGCTTCCCGACGTCGCGCGTCTGTCGGTCGCCTTGAAGAAGGAGGCGGACAAGGTGTTCGGCAACCTCGCCTCCCGGTGCAGACGAGGTTGTGGAGCGAGACCGAGGCGATGGTGGCAGAGGTCCGTGAAACACACCGCTACGCGGGAAAAGAGTCACTGTTGGTATTTGCCTGGCGTAGAGAAAAGATTACATTATATATATATATACATATATATATATTAATATGTGTATATATATATATTAATGTGTATATATATTAATATGTATATACACGCTTATAATATGATGTCAATGAAGTGAAGTTCATATATATATATATAAGTTATGAGCCAAAGCCAGTCTAGTATGCATATTATGAGTATGTAAACTTTACGATGCTCACATGTCACATCTATCGCATCACATTTGGGAGGACATCTTCTCCATGCGTTCTTGGCTACCATGGCCACACACCGGAGAGCGGGGCGCGGCTACCGCGCCTCAAGCGGCCCGTTCTGACGCATGAGGTGGCCCTCAGGACGGAGCTACGAGGATATTTTAATAAAGCCTTTCAATATGTTCAATTGATGCTGCAATGGATAATACATAATAATAGGACCATATCATAGCAGATCCCTTCAGTCCCTTCCACGCCAAGTAACGATACCACTCTGCATGAAACCGCGTGATCGTGTTGGACAAGAACAAACACCCCGTTAAGCCACCGCAACCCTGGCTTCACACTCTCCGGTGTGGCTCCAGTCAAGCCTCAAAGACCAGCTTTTGCCCGGATCTGGGCGCCATGCTTTGGAGCCAAGGCCTGGAGTGGTGGGCTCTGGGTCGAACATCACGATGTTGGATTGCAGCCAAGATCAGCCAAGTCAGGCAGGCAAACAACAACTCTTATTGTGCTCTCTCGTGACATCTTGTTTTTTGGCTTGAGATGGCTAAAGTACACCTGGTAGCTTGCGACAGCAATCCAGCTGGCCCCACTTCCTGTTCAGAAACATGGCAAACCCTTCTAAACTGTCAAGCCTTGAAGAAGTTGCTGATATAACCTGCCAGCTATGGTTTTGGGGCTGGGTTTGAAGAGGTCGAGGCAACAGCCAAAAACATCCAACAACTATAATGTTAATGTTGAGGTATGTTGAGCTGTTGAATCTCATCACTCCGATTGGTCGAGGCGATGTCATTAATTAAAATTGACTATTAATTGCTACCAGCACTCCAGCGGTACATAGCATTTTCTACAAGGAAGAGGCTGTCCAGTGTCCATAGTCTCTTTGCTGGTTGTAGTTTGCGATCCGAGGTTTGTGCCGAAACCAGCGGCAAAACACGAAGAAGCTACAAGACAAGACATCTATGATTCATGTGGCCGTCCGTGTCTTCTATAGTGTCTTCTATGAAGTACTGACTTGGATGCCAAGTCCCTTGAATCTTGCTGCATCTTGCCGCTTACTTTAGAGAAAAATGTGACATATCACTAAGGACCACACCTGTCTCGCATCTCTTGCATGTGCTTCTGGTTCCTGGTGCGCTGCTGATACTGATCCCACGCTCGCTTCTGCTGCCGCTAACATCTCTTCAAGATCTGACTGTGAGTGTTAATCTTGCGGAAGAGAAGTGCACCTACCATGGCCTGGCCCTTCCACCACCAACCAGGTGATGTGAGCTACCTACCTGTTGGCAGCCCCCACATCAAACCCTTCAACACATCTCTCTCTATCCCATCTCTCCCCTACTCTATAGGCCTGTCGTTCATGAATCTTGGACCTCGTTTTGGTGTGCCTTGGCATGCCACAACTCCGCACGAGGCGAATCACCTCAAGTTGACCCGGTTCTTCAAAACTTCCGGGCATTCACCTAGCTTCTTCCAGCTTCACCCCCGAAAGGCACCAATCACCGATCCTCATCCGATCCTCATCCGAGTTGCCAGCCATCACCTGGGTGTCCCCACTTCTCCAGGTCCCTCCGCGCGATCTCGCACGCTTTCCCCAGGCCCACGATGTGGATCACATTCTCTGTGCCTCGGTCGCGGACGGCGTGAGACGGAGTTTCCGGAGTTTCCGGAGTCACCCCGACCGCGCGGGGCTGAGCCGAATGGAAATGGGTGGGCGTCTTTCACGCGAGATGGAAATCCCCCAAGAGCCAGCACCAAACAAAAAGCAAAGGCATTGCTAATTTCTTCCCCCTCACCTGCTTTATCGGGAAGAGGGCCCAAACCCAGGCCCAGGCTGTTTCTCAATGTTTCTTGGGGGCTTCCTCAATTTGAGACAGGCCCAGTGTGGAGGTGTTCTTTACAAGTTGAGTAGTGGGGCTCTGGGATTCCCATGGCCTCTTAGCCCTCGGAGCTGTGCGGGCGTGTTTCGCTCTCTCGCCTGCCTCAACGAGGCGCCTTGATGACGAGTTGTAGGGCTAGGACCTATGACCTGATCCTATCTGATACGAAAGCCACCTGCGATCCCACACATGATTCCTGAATCTGAGCATGCAGCATCTCAGATTAGACAAGAAGCCGACGCGGCAAAAGCCACCTGCTTGAACCCAGTTGGTATCAGAACTCAATTCTTGAAGAAAGGGCAATCCAGGTCCACAGGATGAGCTGCCCACATTCACTCCACTCTCGCCGTGCCACCGGCAGGACTTGCCCCAGCTGCAAGTAGATGACACTGCCCGCACTTCCCGATCCACAACAGCCCTCCCTCCTTGCCAGGCTGCTCGCCCGGCGCCCCGACTCCTGTCCGGCACCATGGAGGAGCGGAGGCAAAGCCTCGCATGGACAGATGGATCCACTCATCCACTTGATTACCAAGCTTCTTGTTACTGGTAGCAATGCCAGGATCTACTGTAGCGATGCCCTTTGTTCCTAGTAGCTTCTTGTTACTCGGATGTGAGAGAGTGATGAATCATGGACTGTAGATTGTTGAAGTAGGGTAGGTTGGCAAAATGTTCTGAACCTCGCGAGTTTTGAAGCAGAACTAGCTGTGTGTGTGTGTGTGTGCGTGTGTGTCCCCAATGCTGTGGAAGTCTTCAGTTTCTATTTGCAGTTGTCTTCAGAGCTCCTAATCGGCCTTCACCTCACTGACGGCCAAATCCTGAGTCACCCTGGCTGGAACGGTGGATCGCTTGTACAAGGCCTCGGCTCGTATGCCAGTGAAAAACGGGAGAGAGAGAGAGAGAGAGAGAAAAAAATGGAACAATTGCCACGTTCCGTCCATGAATATCATGAATGATGGTAAGCTCGGAGTCTTTCTGAGCACTTGCGAGCATTCTTGGGAAGGTATTGCACTCCTTGCTGGTACTCAGACAAAGCAGGATTCTGCTTCAGAAACCTTCAGCTACGGTTCCTCCTTGCTGTTCCCAAGGTTTGAAGTATTGGAATTAGTTACCTGGCTAAGGGTGGCTCCATCACGGCAAGTATGCAATTGCAAAGATATCACATCACTGGAATGGCTTGGGAGAGCTAGCTAATGGCCAATCATATAGTAGTTCAGCAAATCACTGCCAAGAGACACCAACTCCTTTGGGCGCGTAGAGCTTGTGGCCGGCCATGGTCAACAGGTCCACATCCAACCTGCAAGTCTCACACCCACCTTCTCTCCTTTTCTTCAGTCCTCCTCTGTGACACCCAAATTGTTTTGCCTAAACACATGCGTGGGCTTGTCTTGGAACACCCCGGGGCCCCAAAAGAAAAAACTCTCTGCATCCCATATTGCTGGATGTCGGTGTAATGGACTGACCATACTTCAAGAAGACCAGATTTGACAAGAACTTGCCAATATTATATATAGAGATATACACAGTATATACGTGTGATTATCAAAAACTCTGCCATCGTCAGTGTGTCCCCAGGAAGTTCCACTGGTGAACCACTTCCTGGGAGTCTTGGAGAAAGGTTTGTAGGTCATGTCATGCCCCAAGCTGATGAGCCTGTCCCGTGATGTCCTGTGTGCCAAGCATTGACCCCTTGGCATTGATGCCCCGGTTGCTCTCCGTATGCTGTGGTCAAGGGGTCAAGGGAGGTCAAGGGGACCTCTATTTGAACACTTGACAGGCACCTTCCCATGTGGCACGCGGCACGCCTCTCTCCGCCTCTCTCCTCGAGGCATCGCAAGAAAAGCCAAGCAGCTTGTTCACATCCACTGGCAACTTTCCCAGGCTCCTGGCAACTTCCAAACCATCCCCAACTCCACCCAACTTGCTTGCAAATTGAACCCAGACCATACAGCCATACATCTATACTGTATACTACCCCCCAAACCCAAAAAAAAATATATATTAAATATATACACATACCATGGAAACCTGAGGTACTGCATCTGGCCCTTGAGACTGCATCCGAGCGTCTGTGAGGCATCGCAGTGCACGTAGACCTCAGAGAAACACCCAGCAAGTAGGCTGCTGAAAAAATGTACCGATTTCGTTGCCACAACGGGGTATTTCACTACCTCGTCCAAGTGTTTTTCTGCTGCACCAACTCCAAACAGGGACCTTTCAAAGACCCCACGAAGCCAGAAGCTTGAGACGGCAGTCTTCTGAGATACCGCCGAGGGCCCGAACCCTGTTTGAAGCTTTCCTGCAGGAATGGCAGCATCCAATTTGATATATTGATCATTTCTAGTCTGGAGCCGGGTGTCTTTGGGCTCGACTCTATTCCGTCCATCTGGCAAAAGAACGCTGCCCAACGTGTTCGACAAGCAAATCGAAGAAAAACCTGCAAATGCACCAGAAAAAAGGTGGGTGGGTCAAAAACCACGGTCTTTCAACCACCTGGTGACCTTGGCAGTTTCATCTACAATCGGAGTACAGTAAAGCCTCATGAGTTGTTGGACAACCCACAGCTTCGACACCCCAGCACGAGCCTCACTCGCTGCACAATCTCCTTGATCGGCTGGAGGGCCCCAGTCTCGTTGTTGGAATGCCTCAAAGTTCCCCTTCGTGGGACCCCACATTCCCAGCGTAGCATTACAATGATACCCTGCCTTCTTTCACTGCGATGCTGAGGGTATATATTGCAAATCCCAACATCTGCAAACTGAAAATGCCTGGACCAACATCCAACAAACACAAAATAAAGTATTAATACATAACATAGGTACTTACTCAATTGGTCAACTTCCCCGCGACCAAAAAAAGTAGGGCCTTTTAATCCACGGCACATGATGCTGACACAAATGGTCCTGGGTGTGATCGCGGCCTGCGCGGCCAGATCATGCAATTTAAGCCAATGTTCAAACACCATGGATATCACTGGTAGTGACCTGGTAGTGCGTAGGGTGTGTCTCAAAATTGATGGAGCCTCAGGCGTGGTCGCCTTGGTCCTCACAGTCCGTGCCTCAAGGGTTTGTGGGTTCACAAGCCCTTCGGCGTCCACCGGCAGGTAGGTGACCTGAGTTGAAAGAGATCACCAGGTGAGATCAAATCTACCATGATCTGCCGTTGATGATTGGTAAAGCACCCCTCCAGCCGTTGCTCAAAGACTCCCTGTCACTACAAACTAGCTAGTGAGCGTACTCGAAACCAACACAAGAAGTCAGAAACCAAGCCGCGTTTCAAATTCCTCTCACTCATGGAGCTCGCGTGCCGACTGCGTGGACAATCCAACACTTTGTTGTTTCTCCTTGCTGACTCCGGGCCCCAACCCTCCCCGCCTCGCAGCCGTGTCGCTCCAAGGCTTTACAGACCTCCAAGACCGCCACGTGCTCACTCGCCTGAAGACTGTTGGATTGGATTTTGAGGTGTAAAACGGCACGGACGAACAACGAGTTTCGCAGAATAATTCCAAGAATTGGCATTGAATGTGGCGCGATACAGGATAATAATACAGGAGTTTCATCTCCCGGAGTTCTTGATTGTGTTTTAGTCGCCACCACCACTATGACTACCACTGTTGTTGAGGTTGCTGTTGATTTGGCTTTGATTGCATCGGGTTCCTGGTTGCTTCCTGTTCGGTCGTATTGTTTGTTCACTGAAGTCCATTTGTGTATAGAAACTTAACTACCGACATCAACATCAAGCCAAAAACCATCGTTGAGGATTCTCCAGCCGCGCCCTGGAAGTGGTTTAATGGCGACTGTGGTGGCACCAGGTTACCGTTGAGTGGAGACCGAACTCCTGTTGCCAGTTAGAGTAAAATCCTTACAATATACGTCTACAAAATCTAGTCCGCTTCACGGGTTCACTTTTGTGCTTCTTTCAGTGACAGTCCTGCTTCAGTGTTTAGTCACAGGCCTGTGTGATGAAATGCCGCCGCCCTGGCAACACTGCAAATGGCCGAAAGTTGAAAGCCGTACCGTTGGATCAAGGCGCCAAATCCGATAGGCTCAGACTTGAAGGTCAGCAACGCCATGCAGGTCGGTTTCTTTGACTTTCTTGCGGATCATTTGGGAACCACAGCACTTTCCGTAGTTGGAGTGGAGGGGTGCTTAACACCAAAGACAAACTCACATCCACCCCGTGGTGCAACGGAAATCCGAAAAGAAGGTCAACGTTCGAAGCAACGTCAAGTGGCCCATCAGCAATCCAATGGATTAACAACAGAGATCCCGTGAGTAGCATAGGGTAGTCCATTGGACACCCATCGGATGGTTGCCGCAGTCCGGAGCTGCCTTCGGCCTCGCCCATCTCCGCCAAGCCTTTGAGCGCCTGCGTGGGCTGCCAGGTCAAGTCTATAAGAGCCAAAATCACAAGGACATGAGGAGTTGGTGAGTGTGGTATCGTTGTTCACGTATGGGTATTCTATCTTCTTTATTTTGGTGGAGGGTATTGGTGTTGTTCCGCTATAACCGGCGCTGTTTGAGATTCGACATTAATCTCTTTGCTTGTGTAGTCTTCGGCAAGTTTTGACCGCACAGCAGCCCATATAAATTATCTACATGAGTATACGCTTCCTCCTTCCTTCTTACGAATGCTATAAGCGTCTCTTGATCATTCTTGATCGGTCTATGAACTGATCGATCCATCACATCTACATGATCCCACCACATATTATGAGGTGGCTACACCTTGAAATACAAGCAACGCACAACCAGGCCTCTGGGCCGATAATCCTCAAAAGACCTGCAAACCCCGTGGCCATCGCTAGTGCCTGGTTGATCGTCTCGGTGCCATTCGACATGAAGGTCATCTCACCTGCGAGATGACTTATGTATCAGTATATATATATATAGATATGCGATCCCTACCATATTCAGAGGGGGGGACCTCTGGAAAATGTAAGTTACATTTTCTGAGCATGGCACCTTAAAAATGTAATATTACATTTTCCTCAACCCCCCTAGCTTACATTTTTCAAAAATGTAAGCTTACATTTTTGAGGTCCCCCCCAAAAGTGCAGGGGGGCGTTCCTAAATGTAAGTTACATTTTTGTACATTTTTTCAAAAATGTAACTTACATTTCTGGAGGTCCCCCTATATTCCTGGGTAGGGTAGAATGTCAATATAATATATTTCATACGATATCATACGATACGATATCGACTAACCGATGAACTGTAAGAAATCGAATGACTGCAAAATAATGCAATCACAATGAATCAAACTCTCTCTTTTTGGTCATCGCTGCAGGTCGCTTGCTGTTTATGTTCTGGCCATGGCGTTCTGGTTGCCATGGATGCCCCAATCCGATCATCTAATTTTGCCAAAAATGGCACATTGCACAACTCTTTGCGCGAATCCATCGGAACCGACCCCAGTGCCGATCATCATCACACAAATTGACTGACAGAGGCTATCTAACGCTATCTAGTCCAAACTTAGCAGCTCAGGGACCAAGTGGTCAACCTGCCTGACGAAAGTTTTCAAGGCTACCAAACCGTTCTCACGAATGGGCTCTTTGGCAGGCACAAGCCTCAGGTATCTAAAAGAAAATTCAAAAGGATCAAAAACATTTCACAAATGAGAAAAAAACAAAATAAAAGTAAGATTATAAAAGATTATAAAAGATCGTCCAAAAAACGGAGCAAGCCTGTAGTACACCGCGGACGAAAAAGCAAGGGCTCCCATCTTAGATTCACTCTTGTCCTGCGTGAGCTCAAAGAAAAGGGTGGCCCGTGAACACAGCGAGCTCCAAGTATGCACTTTGCCATGCACCTTGAAGCCCCCATTTGCATCCAGCAGGTTGACTCCATGCTTCTTGTAGGCAGCCGGCAATTTCTCCATAAAGATCTGGATGTTCTTTCGCCCAGATGCCCCTTTCCCGAAGTCTGCACAGCCAAAGCCTACGGTAGTCTCGTCCACTGCTGGCTCTTTTGCTGCAACAACCTTCTTTTTGTCATCGAAAAGCTGCGAAGTGTCAAGCTTTCCCTGGCAGATCTGTTCAAATACCTGGAGCGATGACTCTCGAAGGCTGCAATAAAAGATGCCATTTCTCTCACCAGACTCTTCTAGTGGGAGCTCGCCCAAAACATCTTCAGCTGGAACCAAAATGTGTGCAGGCTCCAACAACGAAGTGCACATGGAATGCTTTGCGCCTTGAAGAGGCTTCATTTGCAGCACCATGATGCGTGCCACTGCTTCAGCAGGAGCATTCATTCCCAAACATTTCGACACCTTCAGCTTACGCGGGCTTCCCTTGACTCGGCTCACACTCCCTCTGTACACAGCGAACACCAGACCCACATGGTGTGTCAAGATGCCGCTGCTGTTCTTTCGAAAGATGATCGCCTGCAAGTTGCTGCTACACGAAGGCCGAAAGATTTCACAAGGAAGCACAGGCTCATCGCTGGTATCTTCTTTGCTCTGGACATGTGCGGCAAAATCTTTTTGCGCAGCCATCCAAGCAAACATGCGGCTGTTCCTGGATGCGGTGAAGCGGGAAAATTGGCGAGCCCGGTGCAATTCTGAAACCATCAGGTTGTAGACATTTTCATTGCGGCGCTGGCCCAGAATCTGTGTCTTCGACCTCGGGCACACGCGCGGCTACAAGTCCTACAACACAAAAATGTAAGCTGGTCTTGGGGAGGGCTCCAAAACATGGGTACACACACAGAATTGCGTTCTTCGACCTCGGGCACACGTTCGGCTACAAGTCCTACAACACAAAAATGTAAGCTGGTCTTCAGGAGGGCTCCAAAACATTGGTACACACACAGAATTGCGTGTCTGCAAGACAGCTCATCCCCTGAAGACAAATGTAAGCTACTTGTAACAGAGGTATCCGAACAAGCTAGGCTTCACTATCCACAGTACATATTAGTACAACGCTCGGCTACCTGTCCTAAATTTTATCAAAACCCATCTCCAAACACCAAAAAATGTAAGCTGGTCTTTGGGAGGGCTCCAAAACATGGGTACACACACAGAATTGTGCATCTGCAAGAAGCAACATGAAGCTTCCGTAAACACGACCAAACACATAAACAAAGCTCATCTGCTCAAGAAAATGTAAGCTATCTTCACTGAGGCATTCCAATAAAGGTAGGCTCCACTATCCGCAGTGCATTTTACATCATATATCGATAATCAGCCACAAGAGATATGCAAAAATGTAAGGGCCTGTCAGTAGGGTTCCAAATTATAGTAAATCATGGTCACATAGCGCAACACAAACAACAAAATACAGCTGTTCTCTACCTATGAGAAATGTAAGCTGCCATGTTCAAGGTTCCAACCCTGATTGCCCAATTCACACACTTTTGTGTAGCTTGCAGCACGCAATCCGTCTATATCCTGTCACTATCTTCCACTGCTCTGCCAACAGTTCTCTGGCACCCCTCACGCCGCAAGAAAATTGGCACAGGATTGCACAAGTGGATTTGTCAGTGCTGGAATTTCTGGATTACAGTGCGCCCGCAAGAGCAACCGTTTTCAACAGTCCACAAATCAAGAAACAAAATGAAACAAACAGTATCAAACAGTATCAAACAGCCAAACAGAACAACAACATCACCCAAGACCAAGAAGTCAGGCCATGTCAGGCCAATAAACACCACACCATACAGACCGATACAGACCACATGGCATCGCATGTTGCGATCTATCTGCGTCGAATTGGGCATCCGGAAAATCGCAGGAAGATATGGGATCCGAAATCATCCAAACACAAATTCCAGATTATTCCTGTCGCCCACAGATTAAATGATTTCGCTATGCACATGCCGAGCCTTTTCCTGTGATCGCTCACAGCATGGCTCCGGCAAATCCTCTGCTTGCTGTGAGTCTTCAAGGGTGTCAACATCCACAAAGATCTGGGCATTCAATCTTCGAAACTTGGCCGGGCGCACCTCACTTGCATCATCTCCACAATCTTTCCCTACATCTCCAATAGCATTCTTGGACTTGTCCTCTGGCTCCTCTGGCAAAAGATATTGCGATTCCGTACATGTTGCACGTCCTGTGTGAGGATCAGGAGGGGGTCCATGATCATGTCCGAGAGAAGCCTGAAAATGATAATGGTGATGGTGGTGCACATGTTGGTCAAAATGATTGTGGATCTCCTTGGTTGTGTGGAAGTGAAAGTAATCCCTGTGAACATGGTAGTGGACAGGGGCACTTGGATGAGCCACTGGCGAAGTACCAGCATCTCGGACAATTCCTGAACTTGCTGGCCTGGGAGTTGCAGGGCTTCTCACACCCTCGTCATGCTCACCACGGCCAACAGAGTCTGAGGCAGCCGAATTTTGGCTGTCGTTGCTGCTGCTCAGCTCAAATCCCGATGATGTGGATTGGCTGTCATCTGCAGGGACATCGGAGGACATGATCAAAGCTGGAACGATATGGAGCGATCGGATACTGACTGTATGAAACGCTGGTGTGTGCTTGAGCCAAGAATGTAACAAAAACACATTCACATACCATACAACACCAAACAACACCCACTGACTATCACATACTAACAAAGATTACCCGAGGGTGGAAAACCACATCGCTGGGTTCCAGACAGAATCCTTTCTGCCACTCGAACTTCTTGGATGAAGCTCTTCAAATGGTCAAAGAGAAAGGCAACTCGTCGCAAGCAAGCAGATTCAGTGTGGAACATGGCACCCTCCACAAAGTCCTGATTTCCGGCCACAATCTTGCGAAGATCGTTGAACACACCCTCCGTTCTGCCTGCATCAATGACATGTTTCTGCTGCATGTCTGTCTCTTTCAGGGATTCCCGAAGTTCTGTGATCCTCTTCTCATCTGGCGGCACTTTCAGACTGTCATCCAACAACTTCTCCAGCTCAAGGAGAACGCCCTGGCGATCTTCACATGATTGCAACATCTCTGGCTCTTCCTGCACTTGTCCCACATCTTCTCCAGGAACATCCTGGCAAACGGTTTAAACTGGTTATATATCGATGTTATCAAATGTTATCAAATGATTTCGAACATTAAACATACAGTATTGGAACATCATGGAAACGGTCTTTGTTGCAACCACACCTGCCAAGACTTGGTCAATACTTCTTCCACAGCCTCTAGATCCATATAATCCAGCAAATCGTCATCAAAGAGCATGTCGTCGACCTCCACCTCCTCGGAGTCAATGCATTCGACTGTTGAGCTGGAAAAGCGATCCTTGATGAGATGTGCCCCGTGGTTAGGAAACCACTTAGCAAGAGATGCCTTGACATCAGAAGCATTGCGCGAAGTCGAAATCCACGACTGCAGGGGCAAACGTGGGCAAACATATGGAATCTTAGACACTAGAACATACTAGAACAAGCAAAGGATAATATATATTGAAAAATAGAATATTATAGAATATTATGATACAGTATACCTTCCAGATCTTGCTATATCTTGCCAGCATTTCCCCAATCAGGCCTGGAAAATGCAGGCGTCCTCAAGCGCTTGTGAGGCTATGGTCTCCAGCTCCTCGGCAGTCACTGCCTTCTCGCAAAGGTTGTCCAATGCCTCAAGTGGTTTCAGGACATCTGCTTCTCTCAGCTGTTTGGCGTGCATATGATGGGTTCCGTAGATTCCGTCCTTTATCGTCGGACTTCCTTTGCTGAAGGACTTGATGACACCAAAGGCTCCTTCGATACAATGCTCTTCTCTGCTCCTTGGTCTCCACGGCATCTGCTCAGGCCAATGCCTGGCAGCAAGCACAAAATGCCCGCAAAGGTCCAGCATTCCCCGAATGGTCTGCGGTGGCAGGAACTTGCCTTTCCATGATGACTTGCCTGATGCTTGTGCCTCCTGGG